CCAGGGAAAGGGCCAGGGCCGCGAAATGAAGGCCGGGCAGGCACAGCCCAGCGCCTCAGGACCAGGCCAGTGGGGAGGTGAATCTCGGCCTCCCTCAGCCTGGGCGGGAGGCTGTAGTACAGGGCGCAGCACTGCCAGCCCACAGCCCCCGCCCAGGGCCCAGCCCCGACACGAGGGAGTGGCCCAGGGCGAGGCTACCCACGCTGGGCTCCGGCCTCACTGTCCCGCTCACCTTAAAGGTGGCAGCCACGTTGGTGAAGTTGGCGATGCTGCCGCCGATGATGAGGATTTTGCCTGCATTTAGAGGAAAGTCAGGAAATGCTCAGAACAGGGCACTGCAGCCGCCCCGGGGCCCCACGCCGGGCAGCAAGAGGGACCAGGCAGTGTCCCCGGAACCATGCAGCCCCCTAGACACCCGGGGGAGTGCACCGCAGACCCCACTGCAGCGGACACCGCCTGACCATGTGCGTAGGGTAGCCGGCCCCGGACACGGCCTCAGTGATCCCTGGCACCAAGCTCTTCCTGCTGGCACACGTGGCCGCCGGGGAGGAGCAGAGCACAGTGCATGGGTGCGGGTCTGGGTCACACACGTGTCTCACCATCCGGGTGCTTCTCGCGTGTCATGAGTGACAGGATGGTCTTGGCGTAGTCGTAGGTCTGCTGCTCACTGGGCGCGCCCGAGTACTCCCCATAGTTGGCCAGCTCACTGACGCCCCCCAGGTCACAGATGGTGTCACTGCAGGAGATGCACCGCTCAGTCCCGGGCCGCCGGGTGGCTCGAGGTGGGGTAGGGCAGTGGCCAGCATGGGCAGCAGCCACCGCACTTCCAGACGAGCTGCCGACGGCTGCCTTCACTGAAGGTGAAGGGTGCAGAGTGCAACCCCACTGGTTCTGTAAACTATGAGCATCTCAGCCAGACGCCTCGGGAGGCTGAGGCAGGAGGATCACTGGGAGTTTGAGGCCAGCCTGGACTACACAGGGAAACTTTGTTTCGAAAAAGCAAAACAAGCCAGGCGTGGTGGCAAACGCCTGTAATCCCAGCACTCGGAGGCTGAGGCAGGAAGATCGCTGTGAGTTCGAGACCAGCCTAGGATACACAGTGAGTTCCAGGTCAGTCTCAACTACATAGTGAGACCCTAACTCAAAAACCAAAAAAAAAAAAAGCAAAAAAGCAACCTGCACTCCTCCTCTAGCAGCCCCAAGACACTTTCCTTGTCTCCGGCACACAGAAGGTCCCGGCCTCAGTGAGGCGCTGCCCAGGTGAGGTGGAAAGGAAATGGGACCGGAACCAGGTGTGACCCTCTCTCTGGACCAGAGGAGGCTTCCACGTGGCCCGGGGAGAGGGTCCCCTCGTGGCCGGGCTGTGACTGCTGCCCGGGTGCTGCCCAGGGCGTGTGCCGGTCTGATGGGTGGATCTTCTGTTGTGTTGATGTTCCCTTCTTAATTTATAGAATTTTTTAATGTAAAAATTGCACTGAACTATAAACGTAAATGCTGCTTTTTGTAGCTCATATAAAAAGGTTCCCTATTTGTAGGATACTGCAATATTTTTTACATCCAGCTCTTTAAGTGACCCTGGTTCTGGTGTCTTTGTGTAAATATGTTCATCCTAGTTGAATTAAGAAACTTTAAGGGTTGCCGGGCATGGTGGCGCACTCCCGTAATCCCAGCACTCGGGAGGCTGAGGCAGGAGGATCACTTGAGTTTGAGACCAGCCTGGGCTAAATGAACAAGGTCCCTGAGTGTGACAGCAGTGATGAAGGGCCCTTGAGGAGACCACCTCGAAGGGGACAACTTGGGGATGACTATCAGCCATGCTGAGTGGCTCTCAGCTTCCTTTTTCTTTTTTTTGCCAATACCGAGACAGAGCCCAGGACCTTCACACCAAGCTACACCCCCAGCCCTTTTTTAAATTTTCAGTCAGGTTCTCACAGAGCTGCTAAGTAGCCCAGGCTGGGCCGGAACTCTCGATCCTCCCGCCCGAGCCTCCTGAGTGCTGGGATGGCAGGCCTGCGCGCCTCACCGCGCTCTCTCATCTTCCTTACACCCCGACCCACGCCCAGGACCCAGGTGGGGTGAGCAGGAGCCGCAGGTCATCACAGTCCCCCTCCTGTCCTCCAGGGAAAGGGCCAGGGCCGCGAAATGAAGGCCGGGCAGGCACAGCCCAGCGCCTCAGGACCAGGCCAGTGGGGAGGTGAATCTCGGCCTCCCTCAGCCTGGGCGGGAGGCTGTAGTACAGGGCGCAGCACTGCCAGCCCACAGCCCCCGCCCAGGGCCCAGCCCCGACACGAGGGAGTGGCCCAGGGCGAGGCTACCCACGCTGGGCTCCGGCCTCACTGTCCCGCTCACCTTAAAGGTGGCAGCCACGTTGGTGAAGTTGGCGATGCTGCCGCCGATGATGAGGATTTTGCCTGCATTTAGAGGAAAGTCAGGAAATGCTCAGAACAGGGCACTGCAGCCGCCCCGGGGCCCCACGCCGGGCAGCAAGAGGGACCAGGCAGTGTCCCCGGAACCATGCAGCCCCCTAGACACCCGGGGGAGTGCACCGCAGACCCCACTGCAGCGGACACCGCCTGACCATGTGCGTAGGGGAGCCGGCCCCGGACACGGCCTCAGTGATCCCTGGCACCAAGCTCTTCCTGCTGGCACACGTGGCCGCCGGGGAGGAGCAGAGCACAGTGCATGGGTGCGGGTCTGGGTCACACACGTGTCTCACCATCCGGGTGCTTCTCGCGTGTCATGAGTGACAGGATGGTCTTGGCGTAGTCGTAGGTCTGCTGCTCACTGGGCGCGCCCGAGTACTCCCCATAGTTGGCCAGCTCACTGACGCCCCCCAGGTCACAGATGGTGTCACTGCAGGAGATGCACCGCTCAGTCCCGGGCCGCCGGGCGGCTCGAGGTGGGGTAGGGCAGTGGCCAGCATGGGCAGCAGCCACCGCACTTCCAGACGAGCTGCCGACGGCTGCCTTCACTGAAGGTGAAGGGTGCAGAGTGCAACCCCACTGGTTCTGTAAACTATGAGCATCTCAGCCAGACGCCTCGGGAGGCTGAGGCAGGAGGATCACTGGGAGTTTGAGGCCAGCCTGGACCACACAGGGAAACTTTGTTTCGAAAAAGCAAAACAAGCCAGGCGTGGTGGCAAACGCCTGTAATCCCAGCACTCGGAGGCTGAGGCAGGAAGATCGCTGTGAGTTCGAGACCAGCCTAGGATACACAGTGAGTTCCAGGTCAGTCTCAACTACATAGTGAGACCCTAACTCAAAAACCAAAAAAAAAAAAAGCAAAAAAGCAACCTGCACTCCTCCTCTAGCAGCCCCAAGACACTTTCCTTGTCTCCGGCACACAGAAGGTCCCGGCCTCAGTGAGGCGCTGCCCAGGTGAGGTGGAAAGGAAATGGGACCGGAACCAGGTGTGACCCTCTCCCTGGACCAGAGGAGGCTTCCACGTGGCCCGGGGAGAGGGTCCCCTCGTGGCCGGGCTGTGACTGCTGCCCGGGTGCTGCCCAGGGCGTGTGCCGGTCTGATGGGTGGATCTTCTGTTGTGTTGATGTTCCCTTCTTAATTTATAGAATTTTTTAATGTAAAAATTGCACTGAACTATAAACGTAAATGCTGCTTTTTGTAGCTCATATAAAAAGGTTCCCTATTTGTAGGATACTGCAATATTTTTTACATCCAGCTCTTTAAGTGACCCTGGTTCTGGTGTCTTTGTGTAAATATGTTCATCCTAGTTGAATTAAGAAACTTTAAGGGTTGCCGGGCATGGTGGCGCACTCCCGTAATCCCAGCACTCGGGAGGCTGAGGCAGGAGGATCACTTGAGTTTGAGACCAGCCTGGGCTACATAGTGAGTACCAGAGCAGTCTGAACTACATAGTGAGACCATGACTCAAAAAGAAAAGAAAAAAAGAAAGAAACTTTAAGGGTTGTAAAATGAAAGTAAAAAAATAAAGTACTTGTTTTCTGCTAGATACAAAAAAAAAAGGTGGGGCCAGGGATTTAGCTCAGTGGTTCCACTGCCTGCTTTGCAAGTGCAAGGTCCTGAGTTCGATCCTCGGTACCAAAAAATAAAAGAAAGAAACAAAACCCAAACAAATGGCCTCGCCAGCCTGGGAGGACAGAGCAGTATAAAACACCAGGCCAGGGCACCTGTCGGGCAAAGCAGGGAGACACCAGGCAGCTCTCATCACTGGTTGACTTCCTGCCCGTCACACCTCTGCAGGACGCTCACATTTCGAACTCCAGCACTCAGAAGGACAAACAAAAGTTCAGGGCTGGCAGGACATGCGGGAGGCTGGGGCAGGGGGACCATAGAGAAGCTCAGGCCCAGCCTGGACAACTCAGCAACTCAGTGAGACCCTGGCTGAAAATAAAAAATGTTTTAATTTTTTGTTCAGTGCAAAGGTCCTGGGTCCCAAGTCCCATCTTTTCCAAGCAGACCCTGGCTGCAAAGGAAGCCATGTGGTGGCCCCTGCACCTGTCCCTCGAGGTCCCGGCCTGCAGAAGGGTGGGCGCCTGGAGCCGCAGCCACAGTGGTCCTGTGCTCACCTGTACACCACAGAGGCTCCGCCCCCGGCCACCATGGTCCAGATCCGCCCCTTGGGGTTCAGCAGGGTCAGCTTCAGGCTTGCCCCGCTCTTGGCGTCCAGGTCTGCGATGTAGGCTTCCTGGGGAGCACTGACAGGTAGCCTTGGGGAGGCCCCTCCAGGGCCCAGACCCCTCCCCATGCCTGGGACACAAGGTGACCTCAAGTCCCACACCCCCCAGGCCACTGTCACCGCAGCGCACCATGACGCAGCACCATACACCCCACCCCAGCCCCTGCCTGCTGGGCACAGGCCCCCCTCGTCCCCAGTCAAAGCAGGCTGCAGGAGCACGTCTGGAGCACGCCCTTCCGAGCAGCCGGCAGGGACCGCCTGTAATTATCACTGAAGGGCTGAGATCCAGCAGCCCGAGCCCTGGGAGGCTGATTGCGGCCGGGCTAAGAGGCTTTCTGGCTGGGGTTCAGAGCCTGGCTCGGCCGCCCCCACCCAACTGGGATTTTAAGCAAATTAAATGCTTCTGGCACAGCCTCTCCCGGCCAAGCGCCCTGCAGGGAGGGGCCGGGTGTCTCATGAGTCACTGTCCCCAGCCAGCCCGCGTCCAGCCCGCTGACCTCGGGGTAGGCCTCACGCCCGAACGGGGGCGGGAACTCGATGTCTCCCCATTTCACTTTGCAGATGTAGTCGGCCGTGGCGTCCACCTTGGCTGCCAGGTCAAGGACGTAGACGCCATCTTTGGTCACAACTACAAGACAAGCAAAGGCATCCGACGCTGGCCACCGGCCGAGGCAACCAGCAACTCCCAAAGCCTCCACCGGATACCCCATGGGGTCCTTCATGGGCCAGGGATTTCCCAGTCTCGGCCAGAACCAGAGTGGCCTCCAGAGACAAAGCACGACAAAGAGAGACAACTTCTAGGCCGGGTGTGGCGGCACACACCTGCAATTCCAGCTCTCTGGGAGGCTGAGACAGGAGGACTGCATATCCAAGCCCAGCCTGAGTACCTTAAATAAACCCTGTCATAAAGTAAATTTAAGAAGGGCCGGGGTACAGTGTACCCCAAAGGTCCTGACTTCAATTCCTAGTGCCACCAATGGAAAAAAATTCTCTAAGACGATTCCCTACTCCCTGATCTTTTCCTAATAGGACAGGGAGGTCTGTGTTAGTTGACAAGGCAATTTTCATACATCTTACAAAATGCAGTGCCAGGGCTGGTAGCATACACCCGTAGTCCTACCACTCAGGAGGCTGAGACAGGAGAAATGCCGCAAGTTCAAGGCCAGCCTGAGCTACATAGCAAAACCCTATCTAAAAATAGAAAAGCCATTTTTAAAAATACTATATTCTTTGCCTTAAATATTTAATCATTCACCCATCCACAGCCCTGCCATTTAAAAGTATCTGCTAGAGGGCTGGGGATTTAGCTCAGCAGTACCATGCCTGCCTCACAAGCAGAAGGTCCCGAGTTTGATCCCCAGTACCAAAAAAGAAGTACCTGACAGAGGTGTGCTCAGAGTATGCTCCTCAGCATGCCTGGGGCCCTGGGTTCAATTCCCAGCACCAAAACTCAGTTAATAAAATGCAAACTAAAGTTAAAGCTGGGCATGGTGGTGCACGCCTGTAATCCTGCACTCAGGAGGCTGAGGCAGGAGAATCACTGTGAGTTCACAACCAGCCTGTGCTACACAGTGAGCTCCAGGTCAGCCTCAACTACATAGTGAGACATTGTCTCAAAACGCAAACAAACAAACAAAAACTGGAGTTAGGTATGATGGCCCATGCCTGTGGTCCAAGTACTCGGGAGGCTGAGGCAGGAGGACTGCCATAAGCTCAAGGCCAGCCAGAACTACATAGTGAGATCCTATCTCAATATAAGACAAAACAAAACAACAATAATATTAAAGATTAAGAAATGAGGGCCAGGGATTTAGCTCAGTGGTTCCGCCACCTGCCTTGCAAGCACAAGGTCCCAAGTTCGATCCCAGATACAAAAAAAAAAAAAAAAAAAAAAAAGGCCAGACATGATAATGCACACTTCTAATCCCAGCACTTAGGAGGCTGAGGTAGGAGGATCACTGAGTTTGAGAAGAGCCTGGGCTACACAGTGAGTTCCAGGAAAGTCTGACCCACATAGCACGACTGTCTCAAAAAAGAAAAAAAAAACAACAAAAAAGAGGGCTGGGGATTTAGCTCAGTGGTATCCCTTGTACCAAAAAAGAAAAGAAAAGAAAAAGAAATGAATTACAGGTCCAGAGATCTAGATAGTGGTTCCACCACCTGTCTTGCAAGCACAAGGTACCAAGTTCGATCCCCGTACCAAAAAGGAAAAGAAATGAATTAGAAGTGTTTAAGGAGCACACAGCTGGCAGAAGCCCTAGGCCTATCTGCCTGGACTCCTGGCGAGCAGCCGGGAGCCTCAGGCCAGGTAGGGAAAAACTGTGCGTGCTGCTGGCCAGCAGGCCCTGTGCCTGCCACCTCCAGGGACACTACGCTTCCCCTCCCGGCCTCTTAGCTAATTAAATCAGCACAAAGCCATCTGCCCGCAGCCCGAGCGCCGCCTTCCCCTGCTCGGCCTGGACTTTGCCCTGCTTGGCCTGGCCAGCACCAGCTGCCACCTTCACAGCCGGGAGGCCCACGCTCTGGCAGGGGCAGTGACTGCGCGGTGTGGGCAGGGGCGAGGCCACGTGGACAAGAGGACCAGCCGAGGTTGCAGGCGAGTGTGGGTGCGGCACCTGCGTGCTGCCTCTCAGGGTCCTGGGCAGCGAGGTCCCCTTGGTCCTGGGTCACCTCAGGCCCCTTGCCTGCCGCACCCAGCGACAGCCTTACCCAGGGGGTTGATCTCGAGGTAGGTGAAATACAAGTCCTCGTAGAAGTTGAAGAGGCCGGAGATGAAGCTGGCCAGGACCCTGCAGCACGGGAAAGGCCATGAGCCCAAGGGCCCGGGCCCAACAGATGCCCCCACCCAGTCCTCCGACCCCCACGCCCCGGACGTCACTCTTGGCCACTGAGGCAGAACGGAGCTGTCAGACGTGCAGCAGAGGCGGCAGACGGCGGGCGGGCGAGGCCAGGCCAACTCTGACTCGCGCCCTGTTGCCTGCGCCTCCTTCCTCCCCACGTCACTCAACTCTTTCTTATCTGCAGGCGCGTGGACCAGCAGGTGTTCCCTGGTGTCCTCAGGGCACAGCTTCTCGTCCACACCGACCAGCAGCTTCTGGGCTTTGGCGTCCACGTCACCCACGTCCACACCGCCCTCGTGGTGGAAGAGGACACAGTCTCCATCGCGGGTGGCGTAGATGCACACGTAGAATTCCTCCGCCTGCAGGGTGGGACGCGGGGCTGGTGAAGCCAGGACAGAACCGGCTGAGATCGGGCCCTGCCCCGGCCCCACAGGCAGGTCCTGCCTTAGTCCCTCTCACCCCAGCAGGAGGGGCCCCATGCCCTGCCCTGACTGTCCCAGGGACTCTTGCCTCAGCTCCTTGGCGCAGCTCCGAGCCCGGGTGCCCTGGGCCTCTCCTGGCAGCCCCTCCTCTGTCCTCATCTCAGTGGGACAGAAGGGAGGGAGAGGCCCAGCCTGGCACCCCGCACGTACCTGACTGTGTGGCACAAAGGGCTCAATCAGGAAGTTCTTGAGGAAGCCCCTGGCCTTGCCCACCTAGGGAGAAAGGAGAGCAACGAATCTCAAATGGGTGGCATCTCCTGCTCCCAGAGGAGAAGATGTGGCACAAACACTGCCCCCAAACACCGGGCAGTTTCCAGAAGCCAGGGCAATGGGGCCACAGATCCCTCAACTCAAGGAGCTCTCAGGAGAGCCGAGAGCGGTGGGGCACGCCTGTCATCCCAGCACTGGGACAGGCCTTGGGAGGCTGAGGCAGGAGGACTGCCCTGAACAAGGCCAGCCTGGACTACATAGCAAGACCCTGCCTCAAAAGTGAATAAGCAGGAAGGGCCTGGGATTTAGCTTACTGGTTCTGCCGCCTGCCTTGCAAGCACAATCCCTGGTACCCAAAAAAGAATAAAGTAAATAAATGGAGCACAGGCTCAGAAAGTACCTCCCCCCTCCCAGCCAGGCCACGAAGTACCCCAGAGCACAGGCTGGAAAGGGGTGCGTGGAGGCAGGGGCTGAGAAGGAGCCTCAGAGTCCAGCTGCGAGGCCGGCGGCCTGCAGAGCAACCGGGCCGAGTGTGGGTCTGGCTGCAGCGCAGGCTAGACTGCCGCGTCCCCAGTGACCCCGCTGTCTGTGCGTCACTGTGGATGAGTCAGGGACGAGACGGCCATCAGTCAGAGCAATGAGCCGCTGCCGCCAGCAAGGCTGGTCCCTGAGCCCCTCCCGAGGCCGAGGAGCAGCAGCAGCAGCAGCAGTGCCAACCAGCTGCATCGCGCTCTCTGCTCTCTGGGAACTGGACACCAGGCCCCTCTGTCCCCAGACCCTTGCGACCAGGCACTGTAGGCAGGCCAGCCTGCCATCGAAGGGGCCCCGATACACATTAAACCCGAGCAGGGATGGGGACGTCACTCGGCGGCAGGCACGAGACCTAGGCCCGAGCCCCAGCACCTCCACCCCGGCAAGACCCCACCATGGAGGCGGAGAGGGGCGATGCCTCCGCCACGGGCTCCCAGCACCAGCGCTGGTGTGCACGTCCCACAGGCCACTGCAACCTCGTGCCATCTCCGCAACGCAGCCCAGGGACACCTTCACAGATGGCTGCTCTGGGATCCTGGCACTCACCATGGCCTCCTGGCCCAGCCGGGGCTTCAGCCAGGATTTGACACCATCAAGACTGAGGTTGACCCCGACCAGGCCCAGCTTCCCCCGCCGCTTGATCAGCTGGTCGGGCTTGACCACCAGGCTCTGGAAGGAGAGGGATTTGCGCTGGGTGTGAGCAGAGGGGCTGGGGACAGGTCAGGACACTCCCTCCCTGCCTGACTCCCCTGACCAGGCCGGCCAGGCAGGGCTGGGCCTCAGGAAACGCCCACAGATGCTCAGCACCTTCCTGTGCCCCATGGGACCCCCTGGGACAGGCCAGCCTCGATCCCCCAGGGAGGATGGACACCTGGGGGATGGACACGGCCCTGGAGAGAGGACGTGGCCCACTGTCCCCACACCTGAGTCTCAGCCCTCGGGACAGGCCCCGCTCAGGCGCCAGAATCTCACTGGCCCTTGGGCGCAGGCCCTGCGGGTCTGCAGGCTGCAGCATCTGTCGGGGCTGAGTCCTCGGCCACCCACACCTCGCAGACAAGGTCACCCTTCCAGATGCCCAGACGGAGTGTGGCTGGCCGCCCCATGCCAGGCAGCCCAGCAAGCGCTCCACAGGCTCATCTTCCCGCTCATGCGGTCCGCCCGCTGGCAGACGGGATCTAAAGCTCAGAGCTCGTCACAGTTTGCCAGGCACAGGGTAAACAGATTCCAGCCCTAAGGCCGGGCCAGGGATCTGCACGCACATCACCCCTGGGCCGGGCTCACCTGGGTCAGCAGCCAGGGGTGGTCCTGCAGCAGGCGGGCCCAGTCAGTGTCCGGGGTGACCCGCGCGTAGCAGAAGCGGTTCTGCAGGGCCGAGGTGGTACAGATGTACTTATACAGCAGCTCCTTGCCCGTCTGCTCTGAGATGGCCTTGGCAGACATGGCTGCAGAGGGACCTGCTCTCCCTGCGGGAGGAGCATGAGGTCAGGGGGACAGCAGCAAGCAGGCTGGGCCGTCCCAGCGGCCCTGAGCACCATTCACGGCTTCTCTCAGGGGACAAAGGGTCACCCTGCAGGACGGATGGAGGCACAGAGGCACTGACTCAGACCCCCCTTCCCTGACCTGGCAGGAGGCATGGCCTGGCCTTGCCCGCCCCACCCCAACACACCCTCAGGCCAGCAGGCCAGCAGGGTTGCCCAGGGTCCAGCAGAACCCCACAGGGATGGCCTGGGTGATTCCAGCTCGCCCCCTCCCAAAGCAAACCCCAGCCTCCCTGCGCCCACCCCAGCTAATTCTCCTTGACAAGCAGAGTCTGGGGCAGAAGCCCAGCAAGTGCAGGGCTGTGAGTGACCTCAGGCACACCCCACCCGCTGCCAGTGAGTCAGCCCCTGCCGTTAGGAGCTCCTGCAGCCCTCCCTGGGGACCACCAGCCAGCCAGTCACTTCTCACTGGGCACAAGCAGCCACCCCGTCACGTGTGTGCGGGGAGCCTGGGCCATGGCTGGGGGCAGGGCACTTGCCCAGCGTGTGCCAGGCCCTGGGTCTGGTCCCCAGACTGAGGTACAGAGTCACAGCCCATTTCTTAGATGAAGAGCCAGCGCCCGATAATCAACAGGACTTGAACCCCAACTCACCCCAAGGCCCCCAAGGCTGGCAGGAAGGGACTCAGCACAGAGCACCCCTGAGGTTCCAAGCAGTCACCCCACTCCTCCACCCCACCCACTCCACGGCCATTTCCCAACCTCTTGACTCAGACCAGAAAAACTGGTCCTGAAATCGAATGGTGCACCCCACCCCACACCCAAACGGAGGGTAGATGGGGCTGAGAGGAGAGGCATAGGCATAGGCATGGCAGGCCGGATGAGTGGGTGGGTGGGTCGGGGGGACACCACAGAAGCCAGTGCCCAGCCTCTTGCCAGTGGGCTTGGGAAAGAAATGCAACCTTTGGCAGCAAAAGAAATCACAATTTCCCATGCCCCAGAGAAGACGTAGGACTGCAGTTTGCCAAAACCGTCGGTCACGAGCGCTTGGCTTGGATGGGGGTACACAGGGCTCTCGGAGAGAAGGAGCCTGACTGTGTGCTCACCCCAGCAACAGGATCAGGGACCAGCAGCATGGGGAGGGGCTCCAGGTCTCCCCAGCTCTGGTCTTGCCCTCTCTAGTGTGTGAGGAAAACGTGTGGCCCGCACCACACAGCATTTGCTTCTGGTGACAACAGGTCACAGTGTATATCAATGTGGTTTTGTTTGGGGGCCCCCAGGTTGAGGCTGCATCCCCCACAGCTGAATTGTTAAACTTGGGGGAGACGGCTTTGGGACAGAGCGTGGGCCCCAGGACTGTCACCTGGTAACAGGTAAATGCATGAACCACTATAGGTGAGACGTCTCGGGTGCAGTGGGGATAAGCGCTGAGGTCGGGAGTAGGGAGCTGAACAGGGTGCTTTCTGCGGACGGGGTGAGCCCGGGCTGAGTTCCCCCAGCCGCAGCCACGGAAGCTGAATGAAAGGAGCCCAAGCTCCGGCTCCCCGGATGCGGCCAGGCCGGGAAGGGGTGAGGGTGCTCTGAGGGTCTCCCAGGAGGAGAGCAGGGATATGCAGGCTTTGGGCTTACTGGAGCGGACGGGAAAAAAGGCAGAACGACAGGGGCACTATCTGCCTGGCAGAGTCAGAGGCGCCAGCTGCCCACCGTCTGGGGGCTCCGTCCTCACCGCCCCCGTGGCTGTTTGGAGGCTAAGGGGTGCAAGGTCCCCCTCTGGGCAGCTGGGGTCCGCCGGCTGTCCCCCAACCCATGCTCTCGCTGAGGCGTGGACAGAGCAGGCGGGTGGGTAAGCGCGCTGCGCACCCCAACCGCCCTCCCAGCAGACCCCGGCCGCACGGCACAGAGCCCGC